TATATATATATATATATATATATATAGTCAGAATAACTGTCCATTATTTTCTACTTGTAAATAGCTGGATCAATGAAAAACTACAGCATTATTAAACAATGCATAATTACCATGAGCATATTATTTTTTGGTTTATTTACTTTATTGTTATTGGTTTACATTGAAGGTGGCTTGAAGATGGCACCATGGAGGATGGCGACACAACGACTATAAATTACAGAAAATATTCAACATTCTTTTTTTGTTATTACATACTTGCATATGAATATATAAGTACATGCAATTTTGATATATGAATAAACCATCACATAATCACATACTTTCATGGTTCCAAAGTCACAGATTAGTGAATTACTAGATTCATTAAAGGATCAGAGAATATTTTCTCCAACAGAACAAGAAAATGTTAAATAGATCAACTTTAATATGTAAAAATTCAACTATTTAAAACCCTTTCGCTTTTATGCACCCTTAGGCTAGATATGTATTTTGGGGTCTATTCTCCCATCAAATCAAGTTAAGTCAAGTTGGTTTATTTGTCATTTCAGTCATATACACAACGAAACACTGTTCCTCCAGCACCAAGGCGCACAAAGAAGAACAAAAGGACAGAAACAACACAATACACAATTGAAATTTACAGACCAAGACAACATACAGTACAGTCAATAGTAGTAGCCATGCTGGTTTGAATGGATATTTGAATAAATAGTATTATTGCAGATACAGTATTGTGACATATACTGTATTTTAGCAGCAAGACCGCAATACATAGCAAATAAATAAAAGTACAAACAATAGTAGCAGCAGGACAGGGATTGTGCAGTATATAATAAATGGCATATGAAATACAGTTTGTGATTCAGTTCTGATTTATAAGTCTGATGGCTTGAGGGAACAAACTGTTTCCCATCTTTGTTGTGAAGGCTCGTATGCTGCAGAACCTTTTGTCAGACAGAAGGAGGGAGAAGAGGGTGTGGGAGGGGTGTGTAGGCTCATTCAGAATTCTGGTGGCTTCGAGGCTGCAGTGTGAGGTGTAAATGTCTGCAACAGTGGGGAGAGAGACCCCGATGATGTTTCCTGCCGTCCTCACTATCCTCTGTAGGGTCTTGCAGTCTGAAGCGGAGCAATTCTCGTACCATGCCATGATGGAGCGACACAGTGTACTCTCTATAGTACCTCTGTAGAATGTGGTGAGAATTGGGGGAGAAGGTGCGCTCTCCTCAGTCTCAGCAGGAAATAGATACACTGCTGGGCTTTCTTGGCAATGGAGCTGGGTTGGGGGTCCACGTGAGGTTTTCCATAATGTGAATACCAAGGAACTTGGTACTCTGGACAATCTCCACTGGGGATCTGTTAATGTTCAGCGGAGAGTGGTCACAGTATGCACTTCTGAAGTCAAAAACCATCTCCTTGTCACATTCAGAGACAGGTTGTTGTTTCCATACCTGTCTGCTAAGGCATTGCACCTCTTCTCTGTATGCCACCTCATCATTCTCACTGATCTTACCCAGCACGGTTGTATCATCAGCAAACTTGATGATGTGGTTTGAGCTGTGCATTGCAGTCGTGGGTCATCAGCGTGAACAGTAGAGTGCTGAGCACACAGGCCTGGGGGGGCCCGGTGCTCAGTGTGGTAGTACTGGAGATGTTCTTACTGATCCTGACTGACTGAGGTCTCCGAGTCAGGAAGTCCAGGATCCAGTTGCAGAGGGAGGTGTTCAGGCCCAGTACTCTCAACTTTCCTGTCAGATGCTGAGGAAAAAAAGAGTGACAGGGAGTCTGCTGATTTTGGGGGGGACATGCCCACCCCCCCTCTCTCCCTATTCCTGATGCCCCTAGTACTACCTATTTGGAGAAAATTGTTGAGGGATCATTAAATCAGAGCTACAAATGACATAATTTTAATATATCAAATAAGTTAAGCTAATGTCAATTGCTCTGCACAGAATTCAAACACTGTATTTCACTGTACCATTTACTTTTTGCCAAAGCATTCTCATGTTCATGAGAATGACCAAATATTGGTGTAGTAGGCTTTCATTTTTAGTTTAAAACTATTTCTGCAGATTTCAATTAGATTCATAATGTAAATGAATTTTACGAATATCAATGAGGCATAACCACCATTTCTTGCTTAATGAATTAATTATACTTCTTGAACAGCCAAACCTTCTTTTTCGGGTTATGTGCTGTGGATATGACTCCGGTGAATACACAAAACTCAAAAGCACATAATTCAGGTGAGTTTGAGGTTCAGAGCGTGTAGCAAGATCGCACAAAGGCAGGAACTTATTATGAGACACACAATGACG